GGTGGGGTGGCCGTGAGAGAGATGGGGTGGGCGTGAGAGAGATGGGGTAGGGTAGGCATAAGAGATATGGGGTGGAGGTTGGCGTGAGAGAGATGGGGTGGGCGTGAGAGACACGGTGAGCGTGGGTGTGAGAGAGATGGGTAGGGGTGGGCGTGAGTGGTTTGAGGTGGGGATAGGCGTGAGAGAGATGTAATGTAATAATCCTATGCTTTTTGTTAAATAATTACATATTTTAGAGATTTGTGTGAAAATTCGAGTTGTAGACAATGTTTTTCCGACTGCCAAGACAATGAGCGCTCTCGCTCAAGCTATGAGGACAATGTGTAGACGTAATCGGTCGGTGGATTTATATGGTGAGATATACTGAATAAGTAAGTGTACCCTGGGGTAAACTTCCTTAACACGATGTTATATTGCAGGGGTGGCCAAACCGCGGCTTGCGAGCCGCATTTGTGCAGCTCGCGAAAATATATTGGCTCACCTCCTTTTTGCGTGATAATATAAAAGGTATCGGCAAATAAGAAAAATGTTTGAGCCTTCTATTTATAAACTGAAACTCCACAGGATTAAAACCTAAGTTAAATATTCAAGGTGAATGCCAATATTTAAGAAATTAAATCTTAACTTTAATGCTAGATCTGGGTCAGGTGTCGTTCATTAGTGCTGAGGGGGGGGGGGTATGGTGGGAGGAAGAGGGATTAAAGAAGTTTCAGGTAAGCAAATCTCAGGTCAGTAAATTTAAGGTCAGCAGAGGGACCTCGGAGGGAGGGGCCGGGGGGATGGGCTTGGCAGGTCAGGGCCCGGCCTCACGTCATGACATGTACATTAACTCAGTGTAACACACGACTTTGAATTGTGTAGATTTAGTTGGTACACTCAGGACATAAATTGTGTTTACAGTTCACAAGAATAAGTTACTTTTAAATACTGTTAAATATATTTGATAGCAGTGTGTCTGTGAAAATTTTGTGAAGGAAAATGGCATCAAATTGTAAGAAGAAAAAGTTTGAAGATGAAAACAGAAATTTGAAGCCAGATTGGGAGGAAAATTTTTGCATTCACATATAAAGGAAGTAAGCCTTTGTGCCTTATCTGCAATGTGTCACTCACTCACTCACTCACTACAAAGCCAGTAAGTTGAAACGCCAATACGAACCAATCCACAAAAACTTTTCGTGTGATAATCCACCTAAATCAGAATTACAGAAAAACAGGCTGTGTTAAAATCTAACATACTATAGGACTAGGCGTGTGTCTGTCTGTCTGTTTGTGTGTGTGTGTGTGTGTTCTGGGCAGCCGAAATGACACAAACGTTTTTCATCAAACTTTGTGGAAAAATCGCAAAAAAATTCGTAGAGTGGAACAAACCTGGTCCCATATCGATGGTTTCTTTAGGAAGCCAGTAATTAACCATTTTATTTACGCTGGAAAACGATGCAAGTCTACGGACTTGGCGCACCCTCATTCGCTGTACTCTGTCAGCCCACGATTGCAGCTATCGCACTGCTCCCTCCTCCTCCCCCCACTTTTTTTCTTAGACTACCATTTTTTATGTTGTTTGGATGAGTAAAGGAAGGAAGATGAGTAAATAGAAGAATAAAGAAGGGGGAACAGAAAATAGTCAGAGAGAACAGGCGGGGGGGAGCTGAGTTTCATCATGCGTCTGGATGCGCAGTTTCAACGTTACTAGACGACCTTACAGCTGCAGTGTATACTTATTCCTGTTGGTGACTGTACATGCAAAAGGAGAAGAGATAAAAAGATAATAACAGGAATACATGGAGAAAATGACTACAATAGACACAAGGTGAATATAGACAGTGAAACAGACAGGAGGTTGACAAAAATAGACAGATTCATACATGCACAAATAGACAATATGGCAACTAACATGACAGACAGCTGACTGACTGGTTCACATTAGACAAACAGGCAGACACACGCCAACCAACAACGGATAAGACAGACAGATTTGACGACACAAAGAGTACAGACGGGCTTACATTCAAACACCACGCAGACGAACAGACAGTTGGGATGGCAATAGACAGGACGGATAGACTTGAGACAGATTAGAAGGCATTTATAAACAAGAATAACACCAAATTGACCATAGCTGCGTCAGTGAAGGTACGAGGTCTTACATCCACCAGCGTAAATAATAAGACGCATTAAAAACTAACACCCTCATGCGGAAAGAACATCGATGGTCAGTCAGTCATGTGAGATGGGCCTAAAACTGACTAATGTAAATGATGACTATGATGACTTAACACAGGTGATGACTTAAGCAGATGGTGACTAATATAACCAGACTCAAGGTCACTTCTCTTCATAATATAATTTATCTCGGAATGATCATCGGTGATTCATAATAATTTTTTTTTTATGATTTTAACCTCTCCTTATGGGGAATATTTCTTTAATTAATTATTCTAACCTTATTCTATTCCTTCTTATAGTATATTAGATACTGTAAGTATCACGACCACGACCATGATTATAACCACTACCATGATTATAACAACCACGACAATGATAATAACAACCACTACCATGATTATAACAACCACGACCATGATTATAACAACCACTACCATGATTATAACAACCACGACCATGATTATAACAACCACGACCATGATTATAACCACGACCATGATTATAACAACCACGACCATGAT